GAGAATGACACCACAGCATATCAAATCATTTTCAGGCCACATAGATGTTTTGTCTGCAAAGAAAACTCTTTTGCAACTGCCTGCGAGAAAGCGTGTGAGTGTGCCAGTCGTGGCACATCATTTTCCTTTATAATTTTCCCGATGAATAGCTATTCATGAACAGGGCAAAGACCACATGGCTCTACGTGACGAGAAATAAATCTACACCATCCCTCCACTGTTATTCTATATATAAAAAGCTTTATCGTGGAGTCAAACCACACACATAAACACACACTCACACACAAAGAGTCCTCTTCAAACAATGACGAAGTGAACATAAGCTGCCAATTCTCTCAAAAGCAATATTTGAACAAACCACAGCAAACGGCAAGAGAACTTTTTTTTTCAATTTAACTGGAGATCACGAGGGAACCTTGAGAGTGTACGTATGTGAGCGAGTACGTGAAGCCACAACTCAAAAATCCAATAACAATCACAGCTTTGCTGCTGTGATCTGTGATGATGGGTGTTGTGTCAGCCAGCCGTGCACGGTGAGAAACTTCAAAAGAAGTTTATACGTAATCTTTGTTTGTTCATTTTTTGCTAGTTACAAAGAAGGAAAGCATAGGGTATTTATTTTCAGCTTCCCAAATAAAATAGTGACCTCACCTTGGTGGTTATTTGAGACTCAGACATGCTCTCAACCTTTCCATGAGTCTTTCTATCTAAGCCAATGAATGGAGCTTTTTCAGTTTTTAGATTTTCAAGGAATTGTGTGCAGGGTTCAGCTTCAGTATAACACCGATACATTCTGTGGTTTTTTGTGAACACGTGTGAATAATATACATTAATATATACATTAATGTTTACGCATGAACTATTTAAATACATAAGTCTGTAAAATTTGTTTCTACGTGTGCAAAAATGTGTGCTTCAAAAACATCTCATCATGAAAACATGTCAGGCTGTAAAACATGACTGTGCATCGCCCAGAAAACTTCACCCAGGGTGGCAGTAATAAAATAATGAAAATATATGTCTCAACAGTTCTGCATCATTTTGAGTAAAACTGCATAATTTAGTGTTACTTAATCTAAAAGTAAGAAAGGCCATGAGGTTTTCTCCTTCTTTCACTTACTCCCTTTAGGGGTCACCACAACAGATCAGTTGCCTCTCTTTTAACCTATGCACAACATCCTCTACACCCTCTTTCAAAAGTACTTCCTATCTCCTTTTACTACCCAAATGGACGCATACTTCACCATAACGTGTTCTTACCCTGTTGTTTTATGTGGCTCATACAAACGAGGACAACCTTCCTTACAAAGATATTGCTGCAAGATGTTATGAACGAATCTGTAATTGACACAGGTGGATGGTTCGAAACTGTAAGCAAAGTACCAAAACTATGGCTTCATGCTGAACTGTTTACGCAGTCCTGCTACGAGCCGAGCCGCACTTATTATACTGGTGTGTTTATCAGAATCAGAATCAGAAAGGGTTTTATTGCCAAATGTTGAGCGGGTTTACAACATTAGGAAATTGCTGCGGTGCTTCAGTGCAAACATACTGTTATAAATTAAGCTTAAATAGACATGAAAATAAAAATGAGAATAAGAATTAAAAGTGCTAAGTAGATAGATAGATATATATGATATATCCATGAGTGCAGGTGGTGATCGGTGCCAAACATGGAATGATGCAGTGA